GACCGGTGGGCGTGGTTAGACTCCGCCCGCCGCACCGCGCCTAATCTACCGGATAACGGATAAACCTAAACCCGGCCAACACCCGCATTGGAGGAGGTTTTAGCAAACGTTAACGCCTAGTCTTGCCATTGGTATCTTGGATATAGGCGGATTAGGATATGTGCTCGCAATGTTCAAGCAAATCACATATTTCAGCTGGAAATAATATCGCCTATGTACCTTCGAATCAGAAGGTCGTATTGTGCCAATCTTCCAGTCATTTTCTTTCTAACAATTGCCAATACAATTAAGGCATTTTACAATACTGTTCCCTAAATGAGCTAGATAGACCTGTACCCTGTGTATCCTTTAAGTGAACTTATAATTAATAGGAACTTATAAAATGATATGTGAAACATTTATACAAATAACTTACTTGATAACTAACTTGATCAATCTAATTGAACTAAAGTAATCTTAACGTCGATTTTCATTGTATGAAATAATTAGTGATTCAATACCAAATTATTCAGCTATCAAAATCTTTAGAAAATTATGTATATTTAGTCTTAAAGTTAGTACGAAAAAAGCTATCACAGATGCTTTCGTAGGACATCTTTTAAAGGTATGTTTCCAGATAATTAAAATGTACTTGGCATAGTAACAAGATATTTCTCGATTACCACACTTTTTGCTGTTTACCTTACTAATCTTGTGAATGTATACTCTTAAACTTTTTGTAACAAACTGGTGACAACAAATATAGTCAATTTAGCATAATATAGTTATTTTAAGCAATGCCTGACGAGTTTATCCTTTAAGAACATCGCGGTTAACTCGTATGCAAGTTTTTCTACATTCCTCACCTTTTACGGCTACGTAATGAACCTATTGGATAGTGTATTAAGTATGAAAGTAGCAGCTTAACTAGAACATAAAAAGTTTTATGCATGTTATCGACAGTAAGGAAGATTTAATGTCCGTTACAGTCGTTTAATAAACATTAAATCTATTAAGGCATCGCTTAAGTATTTATTATATGTAACAAGGCTTTCAAACAATACGAGTATTCACAACTATAATTTAGTTATTATAAAGAGAAGGGTTTTTTTTTGTATTAATGTATGTAATGAATTAAATCAAAAACTATTAAATTGTTTACAAATTTTCTTTTGGTATTATAAAACTGCATTATCACTAAGTAACATGGACTACATATGACAAGATTAATATAGCCTAAGTTATTTCACTCATTGTACACACGTAAAAGGAATAAGGTTTAATTTGCCTTCTAAATTTTTTCAACGGCAGACTTTATAAGAATCTACTCGATTCTGTAGAATCTGTATCCACGTAGTGGTAATTAAGTATCCGTTTTATACCACTTTCCTAAAAACGAGATAATTCTTAAACAACTGTCAAAAAAACAAAACACGATACGTGAGTGAATCGAGTTCAGATCCGAACACCGCTTAAGGGCCCTTAGAAGGAAACAAATTTAATTTACATTCAATTAACTGTAAACTAACTCTTAGTCCACTGACATAAAGATCAATATCCAATGAATAATTTTAGATTAGCTGCAATATACGTTAGTAAACACACATGCTCGTCTAAACTAGAAACCGGGAGCTGCTAAAAAGATAAAAGACTATTCAGGCGTTAATAGCGGACAGTTACTGACGTATCCATCGTGTTTGTTCAAGCAATTTAGCGGCTCTTATTTTACAATCGTGACTCAATATTATGGGAAATTTGATTGTCAGTTTCCGATACCGATATGGTTGCTTATGAAATGATTTTGTACGTAGTGGTTACGTATATGGTGTGAATAATGGAAGATTTGGATGTACGCTTAACATGATTTAGGCGTTTTGATTGTATTTTAACAAAGGAATATTTCTGACCGTTTAATAGCATAGTATTGTGTTATCTTCTTACTTAAACATGTGTCCTCTATTAAGAGTATCGTATCAACTTTTATTGCATTAATTATTTTTAATTTTTTAAATTTTATATTCAAACCTGCTCCCTCCTTTCATTACGAAATATTCTTTACCTTTTAAAAAACAATAAACTTGTTAAAGATATTGATTTAACATTTTACAATAAATTGTTTACGTAAGAGTGGGGGTCAATCTAAGATATTTAAAGACATCTAGAAATACCACATGTAGTCTAAGTCATTTTAAATCTACAAAGCTATATGCTCGCAAAATATTGACAAATTTGAAACCGATTTAGACATGAAAAAGTTCAATATAACTTTGATATTTTTAGCACGAAACGTCACAGAACAAATAAGAAGGTGTTAAACTATCAGATATGTTACGTAGCTAAGTTATTTACGTTCCTTATTCTTAAAAACAATTACTCTTTTAGTGTACATTATTCACACTTGGTAGTTACGCACAGTTACTTATTTGAGTATATTTTTGTGACGAATATGCGTATAACACATTTAACTTGTATGATTTAAATAAATTAAATAAAAAAGACAATCTTCAATGTCCGATTAAAATATAAATATATGAAACTAGGTGTTGCTCGCAACTTCGTTCGCGTGAAATCAACAATTATAATAAAAAACATAGCCTTTGTTATACACAGATAAATTATCTTTGTAACGGTGTTAGAATTTTTAAAATCAGCTTATTAGTTTTTGAGTTATTTCGATACATACAAAAATACAAATCTTTCTTCCTCATAATATTAGTATAGATGTAGGACTTTTTTTCACGTTGGTTGTTCGATCTTATATTTGGGCAATGTGTATGCATATAGAAAGTTCTGTATTAAAAAACAACATAGGCTTTCTGGTGCATTAATTAAATGAATATCTATACAAAACATTCCTCTTTTCGATGTTAAGATAAACAGAAAAGCGCACTGTTGTAAAGTTAATCGTTAGCTATTGGATTACTTGTATCTCTTTATTCTTTAAAAAGATTACAGAATAACTAAACAGGTTCTTTTATAAAATCCATCGTAAAGTTATTCTTAACTACGGGTTTTCATTGAGCGGTGTTACTTGTTTATGTTCTATTGAAGCTTTCTATTGTTTTATCTGAGTCGGGGAGACAAAAGAATCGGTGCAAACAAAGGTTCGGATCGCTACCTATATTGATATTGCCCTACTTACGTTAAATGTTTTTATCTTTGTAACAGATCTCTCTTCCCTACTTAACGGTGCCGCTTCGAGTTATTATATTTTGATAATCTTCAGGGAAACATGACGGGTGTTGTAAAAGTTATTGTGTTTCGAGATGTATTTTGAGTCGTTATTTTTGAAATTTCAACATTCTATAATGTTTACTTAAATATATTTATGCAGTTTGTTAAGATGAGATTTATTAATAAACGTTTATTATATGTAGGAACATAATAATAGAATCTGGGATAAATAAGAAATTTATTAAAATTAAATGTCTTTTTACTTAAAAACTGCAAGTTCCTTAGTTTTTAACTCCTAGCATTTGTTAGTAGCAAAGTTTTAATACTTTAAATCTAAACATTATAACAATTTATTGAACATTGCCGATCAAAATTTAAAAGGCGGGTTATAAAAGTTTAAAAAAAAATCATAAATTTTATTAGAAACCAAAAGGAATGTTCTGGAATTTTTCACATTTTTAACTTACACAAAATAAACTACTAACTCACTCGATTCTTCAAATAATTAAACTTTTGATATAAAAAGGTTTTCTTATACTGTAACGATGTTGCAATACAAATAAGCGTTAAGATTAAATCATACTAATATTATAAATGCGAAAGTTTTGATGGATGGATGTTTGTTAGAGTTTGTAGCCTTAAAGGTTGAACGGATTTCGTTGAAACGTAGCATATATGTAGATGATAGTCTTGAATAACACATAGGCTACTTGCATTTTTTAAAATTACGCTTGGTCGTAGTCACGGGCGAAAGCTAGTTAATAAATAAACTTGTCTCAACATCTGTACCGTGACAGATGGCATATCTCCGTCTCGTTGATATTAACTATCTCTTACATAACCTGATTAAATTGCTGTATTTGTATGTAAAGAAAACAGTCTGTGTGTGATTATAAAAGACTACGGAACGAATTCACGAATGCGCAAATATGGAAAATTTCTGGTTATTTAATTTTTAAGTCTGTTGCTTTGAATTTTCAGATTTAATGTCAGTCATTAAAAAAGCTTATAAGTAATATGGTTACTTAACGTATTAAAAAATCAAATAAAAAAATGATAATATCTGTAAAAACTTTATTAAGCGACTTGTCATATTAAACTGTGTCGTTATTAGTAATTACGCAGCAAACACAAAGCTTCTGAAAATTATGAAAAATTAGAAAGAAGCGGAAGGCGAGGCGGTAACATCGCTTAAACGGCCACGTACAAAATTATAGGAAGCCGTGACAATTTTTTTCCTATATCCCGGAGCAGTCGGGAAGCTGCTGTGATTTATTTAATGAATAAAAATGCCTCCTCAGCGGGTACTCTACGCCTCGCCCATTTGCCACTCTATTGCAATTAGCTGATTTGATAGCCTTTTTTTTTAAATAAGGCGAAATTACGCCCACGCTAATGTTCAATTAAAAGTAAAATCTATAGACCTATAAATCTAGTTCTTTGAGTAATCCCGTTAATTAGTTTGTAAACCGTGCTCTACATGTCAGTACAAAGGGATATAACAGTAAGTCTGTTAGTCTCACTAGAAGATACGAGTGTAAATGAAGCCGAGTGACGTCGAATTACGTAGCGCTCAATACGGCGCGTAATCGTATAACAAGATAACGCCTCGCATCCATCATCCGTACAACAAATTAAGCATTCGCATACTGCATAGAGCACTGCGAATTACAAGTGTAAATAAATCTAAAGGCCGCCCAACCACCACCGTGGGCCGGGCTTTGGATGAAACGAAAAAAAAAACCACCGAAACTCGTTAAAATAGCGGCTTAAAAAAGAAAAGCGCTGAAACGGTAAGGCTCGGCCGGTATCGGTTTTTCTCGACGCGGGCGGTTCGCTGGGCGGGGCCGAGCGGAGTCAGTACCGCGCCGCCGGCCGGCCGAAGCGAACGTGTCTGCGGTTGTTGTATCGCCCGCACCGGGCGCATGTTTCAGTGAAATTTCGTTATGCCGATGTCGTCGTGAATCTGTAACAAAAATGGACTTTCAGAGTGCTATGGAGACATTCGCCGAGGCATGGGCAGCTGCCAATACTGTCAAATCTGAGGCCCCGAGTGACTTATCGCAGGTTAGTTTTTTACATTTACTTATATTTTTTACCGCTCTTGTTTGAATAAAGTAATAAAAACAAAAAGTAAATCATAATTATGTGAAACTAAAATTGTATTTTAATAATTGTTCATAACAAATGAATAAACGTTAATTTATTTTTGAACTACATTTTTTTAAATGACAGAAGTTCTGAAAACAAACTGCGCATAAACTGCACGAATTAATTCTGTCAGGATCCTTGTGATTTTGTAAGACAATACACGCCTAATTGGTTCACCTAGACAATAAGCGGCCAAGTTCATCTTGATAACGTTGATTTGCATAAAAATAATGACACGTATACTTGCATAAAAATAATTTCAATACTAACAATAGTTAGTGATATTTCAGCAAGGACACATCGATACGACGCAATTCAATATCGTTTACAATCAGACTGAAAGCTTTATACATAAAATGTCTACTAATTTACGTAATTTTAAAGGTCTAACTTTGTTACAAATAATTAACTTACATGATAAGTTACATTTAGAGGAAACAATGTAAAATGTGAAATATTTGAATTTATGCAAACTTATAACATATCCTCCAACTATAATCTTAACTGAATAATATGCTACAAGTTTAAAGTTGTTTGGATATATAAATCTGTTTTATTGTTTTAAAAGTTTATTATGAAATAACTAAAAACCTTATTAGCCTGTGTGTTCTAACAAATATGTCCTAAATCTTTATGACATTTTAGCAAAGATCCGTTGAACCGTATTAGAGTAACTAATATCCATCCTTCTTAATTTTTATATTTCTAGTATTAATAAGAAGGAATTAAGATGTGATTTTTTCAAAGATACCGTTATTATATTCCGCATAATATTTGCACCTAGAAACATTTCAACAAAAGTAGTTAGTTTTATAGTAATGCAGAGATTAATTGGTTTGGAATGTCTATTATACAAAACAATTAACTAATTTTATGTAATTCTTTGTCAACCGCTAATTGTGATTTACAAATTCAAGTATTTCATGTAAAAAAATAAAGTATTGTTACAAACGGAAACCAATTTGTCCAGCGTGCTTTATGATATAAAATTTTATAGCTTTATTTAACCTTGAAATTTTAATACAAATTACGGTGGCGATGTTTTCATGTATCCATATAAAAGATTTGTTATCGGAAATGAAGTAGCTTTTAATTTTTCTTCATTATATTATTTGTTATTTTCAAATGTCAATGCAGTTAATGTACATATTTGTTATTTTTGATTTCTGATGTTCAATAAAATAGAAACATTGAATATTTATGACAGGTTTTCGAGGTCAATATTTCGGTATATTTTTAAACAAACACATTTAGAATGTGTCATAATTTTAAAAATAGATACATCGGGGAGAATTCTAGATCTGTATTATTTGTATTGATTTTTTTAAAGTTGACTTTAAAATTTTAATATGCTTAAATAATTTTAAACATAAACCTGAAGTAATTAGGGTATTAGAAATGTACCGTCATAATAATATGTTTCAGAACTGATTGACTGGTTTAAACTTATGTCAAATTTAAAAACATTAAAAGATAATTGATAACTTTAATTGAATGTAGGTTTTTTAATGGATTTTACTTCGTTACGTTATAAATAAGAGGACAGTATTGAGTTTTCAACAATGTACTTAACACCCACGGCATGAAATTGATGTTTTTCATAAGTTGCATGAGCAATGTTTATGAAATTAGATTATCTTACTAATATTATAAAAGCAAACGTTTAAATGGATGGATGGGTATTTTTTAAAGTTTGTAGCTTAAACTGCTGAACGGATTTCGATGAAATTTGGCATTGACGTAGAGGATAATCTGGGAGAACACATAGGCTACTCGATTTTGTTTTTAAACTCCATGCGGACGGGGAGGCGGGCGAAAGCTAGTTTAAAATAAGTAATCTTGTTCAATGTGGTAGTGGTCTAAAATATGATAGAAACAGTGATAAACATGCTAAGCGATAAAATCTAATAAATAAGTATTATTCAATGTTGTGTAAATGTAAAAATAAGATGTTATAAAACAAACGCTATATAAATTAGAGTTATTATTAGTCAAATGTTACTGAAATTAATGATGAGTGCAGTTTAGATTTCCGGTAATATTAGTATTACGAAATATGACATTTAGTAATGCGGAATGCAAATCTAATATTAATTATTATGAAATTCCATTGAAGTATTTAAGAGAGCGGAACGTGTCTTATTAATGGTTTCAAATAGCATTAAACCATGGCTAATATAGTCGTTTCTTAATCACTGTCATTAAATCGAAATTAGTGCATTCAACGCCATAATTGGTATTAAGGTCCGGTGTTCAAACAAAATGGAATAAAAAACATAATGAGGTGCGAAAACTGATCTGCAATCTAAATAGAATGATCTGCGTTATCTGTACGGGGATGCCGATATTTTATAACGCGTTTGATTACGATATATCTTAAACTTTTTTTTATTTTTTTTAAGTACAATTTGTAGCTCAGTGGTTAAATTTGGAATTGGAATTCCATCGTTTTGAAACAATGGAACAATCTTAATCTTTTATTGTAAATTATGCTAAAGGTTCTGAGTGTCAATAAGGAAGAAAAGTTAGGTTAGTCACCACAGCCAGATGGGTAGAGATAACGGTTTACTATAGGCACTCTACTAGCATAGGTTTGATTATGGTTCATGGATTTACTTATAGACGCTTCTTGTTGAAAAAAACAAATTTAGTTTTAGTTGAACTCCGTCGTAATTGTAACTACAAAAGTAAGTTACCTATATTTGTTAACTTAATCACAATGATTGTAAAAATAAACTAATTGTAGATGTAAATTGAATGAATCGAATCGATTGCAAGTTTCTTTGGAGCAATGTCGCAATGCCCAATCGAGGTTCGGTTCAGAAAAACCACAGGCGCTTAGAAACCCCCTTCAATCATGCTTCTTATGAAATTTTACGTGGTTATATTATTGATTGTATTTTAAACTATGTAACTAACATTAATAAAATTGGAATTTCCACTACAATTTTGCACATTTTAAGTCAATATGTTACAATTATATAAAAAAAAATCTGAAATCCTAGCATTGTTTATATGCATGTTGTTTCAATAGAGAAGATATTACGAAATCTATTTTATCTGTATTACAAAAATATTAAAATTAGGGGTTTCCTAATTTTTATAGAAATTTTATTGGTTCCGGTGAACATCTTGCTTCTACATTTCTTCTTTAACTTATGAATTATCCAGAAACAATTCAGGTGAGCCTCCGTTCAAAACTTTGGCAATTAATAATTTGGATAACAAGTTAATTCTGTCGTAATATAAAGTGTTTAATCAATTACATATTCAAATATAAAGCGTTTTTTCTTCCCTCGTCAGATTTCCTGATAAAACCTACATTACATGAAAGAGCACTTTTTAAACATGTTGTAATTGGGTTGCGTAATCAATAATTTAAAATAATTTCATGTAATTTAGGTTTTACCAGGAAATCTGATGAGGGAAGGTTATCATTAGTGTTGTATCCCTAATATAATAGTAAAGAATGTGTGGACAAGCTGCGTGTTTAGAATCTCTCAGTGAATTTCCACAGCGCTACTTATCTTGATACATGTCAGTATGTTAAATAGAACAATAAATACTTATGTCTTTCAAATCACAATCAATTTGAATAGGCCAAGATATAATAACTGGCGACAGATAAACAGTAGGTAAATATGGGTTTATCTTCAACTAACTGCAATCTCGACATCTACGTCCTTTAAATTAATGTTTAAACTATAAAACAAATTATGGAAAACCCTTACATTTGTTATCTGTTTACGATTTAATAAAATGTAACTCTAGTTTTGAAATAAACATCTAAAAACATCTCAATTTAATTTTCACTCGTTTGTAGTTATGCAGTTTTAAAATCTATATGTTATATAAATTTTTAAATGCTGTAGCTTTCGTATGAGTTCTGAATCATTCCATTTAGCAATATTTTGTAACAATCCCTGTATGTATAAAGATGTTATCAGTAATTCGTTTCCAATCATTGACTCCATCATCATCAACAATAACCGTTGCCTGCCCACTGCAGGACATAGGCCCACTACAATGCCTTGATTCCATATCACAAGAATTAATTACAAGAATAATAAAAGTTTCTTCGTATTTACCAAAAAAGGAAAAATGTTAATATTTTTTTCAACATTAGATGCTTTGAGCTTTTGAGGTTTTCTAAAATTACAAGCAAGAAAACTTTGACACTCAGCCTAATAACAATGAAGGAATAACGACGATAATCGATCAAGAATAATTCGATTTTGACGTCCACTAATACTATCGATATCGATAGCGGTGTTTATAAATATACGGCTGTGAGCTAATCCATTATCTCGGATTATTGTTTCCCGCGATAACTTTGTATTACCTTTTACTGATATGCGCGGTGCGGCTGCCGGCCGGAACGGAAAACACTGCGCGTTATACTATGCAATACGAAATCGTAATACAATAGTCGCCACAAATATTTACCTGTCTGAAGTTAGGCAATAAGTACATGCAGCACCTCGGAACTGACGTGAGATGAGACTGTGAGACACTATCTCGCTTTGTCTCTAATCTATAGTATATGTGTATCTCGCTCTTTTCCTGTATAGCATAGCATTCCTTCTGTAGTCAACATCAGCCTTCTAAATATTTGTGGCACGTGTAAAGAATGTGGGCCAGCAGCACTCAGTGATGACATTTGGAAAATTATAGCAGTCATCGATTTACTTTTTGTTTTAAGAATTTAGGTGATTTTTATCGCTTTTTTATGCTGCTTTGAATATCGATCTATCGGATATCTAATAAAATTAGGCAATATTTATTAGTGTTAGTAAACCGGCTTAAGTGAATGCTAATGATAATATTTTCGTTTCAAACGGCAAGAAAATGCAAAAGATTCTAATGGAATAATAATAAATTTGAAAACCTATCGAACTTAAAGAAATGTTCCAGTT